GGATATATGTGCCCTTAGTTCAGAAATCTCTCAACCGATTACGGCCATGCTATCTTTCTTTCCCTTGGTCTGATCTAAAATTGGTGCAATGATGATTCGAGTATTGGAAGCCTGCTCACGATCCTTCTCGACCTGAAGTGCTTTCTTAAAAATTCCAAAGAAATAGCGGGTCTTCTCAGGTAGGGCTGAGAAATAGCTAACACTTTCATTACTAACCAACCCTCCGGCGGCCATGTCGTTGAGACATTCATCGACTGTGTTAAGATGGTTACAGGTCAAGATGTCCATCACCGAGCAATCAATGAGTTTTTGAAGTTTCACCAAAGCACTGATTCAGTGAGAGCCTTGGAGTTGCTAGCCATTCTAGAAGCACGGGCTAGCAGTGCACCAAGCTCGGCCGTCCACGAAGGAAGATTTTGTTGAACAGGAAAACCCAAATTTAGATTAAAAAAAGGGAGTAATTAGAATCCCCTATGTTATTTTTTTTTTTTGCAACTTGTTTAGACTAAACATATGTTCCTTTATAAAATTTGATTAAAATCTTTGATTAATTGCCAACTCAACATTTTTCATTTTATTTAATACTAACCTCTCTGCACTTGCTCACGCACATGAGAGAGGCATTTTTGCATCATTGGCATTACGCGCCCCAAAGATTTGTTAATTTAGATATTATTTTAATTATGAATTGATTACTAAAAATAAATAGAATCTCATTGCCAAAGATGTCTCGAGTTAGTTATTTTTCATTGTAATTGTGAAGATATATTTTTAATGTATTGCGCGTGCGAGAGGCATTTCTTTATCAGCCCTTGAAAATGTGTTGCTTTATTTTTTTTTTCCTTATTTCTTAACTGCTTATTTATATTTTGTGCATGTGAGGGCCATTTCGAAGTTTTTGATTTTGAATTTGTGAGAGGCCAACATCCATCTTTCCTCCCATCTTTTTAATATATGCCTTCAACGTGAGTTTTTTTTACCTTCTGTTGAGAAGCAGTAAGCACAACCATGTAAGCAAGAAATATGCCAGCGTAAAAGAACCAAAAGGAGAAAGAATTGCAAATATTTTCTTTTTGGTGACAAATACACGCCAAATTATCTAATCTTTCTACACGTGCTCTTGCACTTTTTTTTTTTTTTTTTTGGTTTACCTTAGGATTAGACTTAGAAATACAATGTTTAGAGACAATTTATTTTACTATTGTGTTGGACAACGTTGAATAGAAGTTACTTTGCAATATTTTGTACTCTTATGCAATAATAAAATGGTAAATAGGTATACAATAGTAGTATATTTCTAAACAGAATAAAAATCATGGTGCATATATACACTTGTATTACATTTAATGCAGACCAAGAATAAAATGAAAATTTCTCTGTCTTGATAACTTATAGAAGTATGCATCTATAAGCATATTGTTTTATGACACTACAAAATAATAGGTGAGGCAAAAACATTATCTTTGTGCAATCAAAACTTATCGGTAGACACTTCAAAAAAATAGTTTGATTTCCACTAGCTAGTAACACCCAAAAAAAAAAAGAAGCAACTTCTCCTACATCAACATAAGGAAAAACAAACTCCATGCCACTTATTCTCTTTTCTTATTTTGGTGGGTAAAATGCACTGAAACCAAACCGCATGTAGGCATACTTTGTTCTAGTTCCATGATATATATGTACAAAGAGTAAAGCAAAAAAATTCCTTTAAGAATACAACCAAATATACAAAGTTCTCCGAAATAAGAATGTAAAAAGAAGGCATAAAGAACTCATAAAGCTATCAAATGAAGAAGAAGATAAAGCACAGAGCAATTTAAATAAGTTCCAATAAACCAAATATTAAAACTATAAATGCAATTACTTAAAAACACAATTGTAAGACATATACTTGACCAATTTTATTGTTTGCACTTGAGTTTGTACCCAAATTGTATCTGCTTGTGTCATTCACAATCGGCCCCTAAAACGAAAGAAATTAAGCTAACGAAAATGAAAACCGAAACTTAAATTATAAAAGAAAAAAAAAAAAAAAAAACTTTAAAGCCAAAATATACATACAAAAATTGAAAATTAAACTATTTAGGGCATACGTGCCATGATGTCAAATTCACCCATTAATGATGAATCTAGGCATGTTGTTATGAAGATATCTAAGCAAAACTTTGTTAGAATGTTAATAAAAAATGAAAAAAGAGAAGTAATTAGCACGTTAATAGATATTGAAGAAAAATGATTATTCCTTAAATTTGATTCGATCACTTAAAAAAAACAATATTTTGTACCCCAAAATCAATTGCCCAACATCAAGGGCGAAAAATGAATCAGTTAAAACCAGCTTCAATCATATAATCATTAGCAAGAAATACCCTGACACACCCCGACCGAGATCAGGGCGTGCTGGCCGTCACACGAAGGTGACGTAACCATGTGCACGTGCGGAAGCTAATAAGATAGTAATGTAAAAAGTATAAATAATTTAAAACTAGCATGCAAAGTACTAAACAAGTGCTAGCGTGAGTGGGATACAAATTCAGAGCAAGACTACAGCAGTCCAAAAGAAAAGTTGCGACAAAAGTACACCCGAAGGTGACCCTACGCTGGTGAGTGTCTGTCAGAAAAGCCGGGAGAAACCTCTGGGAAACCACCGAACTTGCTAAGCAACTAGAACCTGGAGGGGTGCAAAACAAAAGCGTGAGTGGGCAAAAACAAATCTTTTCTAAAACCATTTAGTAAAATACTTTCTAACCCCTCGTCGTAAAACCTGTATACTTCCCAGAAAATAACATATATACGTATGTATATAGATGTGCCAAACATGCTCAAGGGTATGCCAATCATGCTCAAGATATGCCATGTCGAAATCTCAAGATGAAATGCAAGTGCTCAGGTATAACTCAAATCAATAACATGTAATCTGGCAGCCGGAGTCACCTAACGTGACCTGTACGGCTGCATATAGAGCTCAAATCTCAAACTCAATAACTGAACCTGCCCACGAGTCGGAACCACCTAAAGTGGTCTGTACGACAGGCCTGGGTGTAATATATATATACGCTCTAGTGCTACGATCACGTGAAGACTGTGCGAATAATCGCGGGTCACCTACGAGTCGGAACCACCTAAAGTGGTCTGTACGACAGGACTGTGCACCTAACTTGGATCCAAGTTGAGCGTGTGGTGCGGGAGGTGAACATCACGTGAAGGACTGTGCCCTACTCTAGGTGGGAGCACTAACACCGGGGGTGCAGGTTATGACTCTCTAAGCATCTCAAACCACTACTGAATGTAAATATGAATACCACTTACCTATGCGTCCACAACACCAAATATGCATATGTATATGTGTACCACTACTAATGTATGCAATGATGCATAAACGATAATAATATGGTGCATGGCATAAAACACTTAACCCTTTTTAAACAATTTCTGGAAAAATAAATGTATATAGGTATATACGGAAAACAAAAGCCCACTCACTGGTAAGTGGAAGGGTCGTAGCCCCCCTGCCTCGAGTGCGCACGCTCGTCCTCGGAATACGTGTCACCTATATGCGAAATAACTATAAAAACGTTAACTTTAAAGCACACAACCTAACTTTCGTAATAACTTCTCATACATTGCTCAAAATGGACAAATGAATATACCAACGTGCTCTACACAACCTCAGGATCACAACCATATTTTTAGAAAAATTTTCCTCCGTCGCACGCTCCCCCACGCGCCGGCCAAGGCACGGCCACACTCGCCGGCCACGCGCAGGCACGCGCGGTGCACACTGACGGCGTCAACTGACGCCGTGAGGAATATTCCGTTAGTTCTAACGGATTCCATCAACGGCGTCAGGAATATTCCGTCAGATTTGACGGAATATTCCGTCACCTTCTCCGGCGAGCCTCCGGCAACGTCGCCGGCGCCGGAAAACTGGAAAAACTTCAAACTTCGTTTTCTCACTCGTTTCTCAACCATTTTTCACGATTCTTGAACCAAAATGAAGCTTAGGACTAGTAGAATCACGATATACCACTTTTAAAAGCTAAAAACCACGCGATCATACCTGTCTCCAAACTCAAAAACCGGCCAACTTCGAACCAGGCGATTCCGGCGTCCAAATTCGTCCAACGAAGCACTCCGAGGCTCCTTGGGACCTCACTAAGACATCTACGAGCTTCAAAATTCCAAAAACGTGCTAGATTAATGTTTGCATGACTAGTACTCAAATCGGACCACCTCGAATCGACGTGAAAACGAAGGATTTCTCACCTGAAAATGGTATGGTTGCACTCGCACGAGCTTCACGAGTTCGAAGGTGTCCTTAGTTTCCTCGATCTGTGATGATTTGGTGAAGTTGTGTGTGTGTCCGTACGAGTTCGAAGGAAGAAGAAGAAATGGGAGCACGGGAGAGAGAGAGAGAGAGAGAGAGAGATAGGGAAAGAGACTGTGTGTGTGTGTGTGTGTGGCCCAGCACCTGCCAACACCACAACAAGCAACCAAAAACATAACGAAAACAAACTAGGGGTAGAATTGTAAGTTCACACGTACGTTTTAAAAATCCCGGGACGGGATGTCACATACCCAACCTTATTCATAAATCTGCAAGAACATAAAAAAAAAAAAAAAAAAAAAAAAAAACCCCAAATGATAAATATCAGTAAACTTAAAGCAATTACCTTATCGCAACCTATATGAGCACTCTCCAATGGCTCTCTTCTTTACTAATGAAATGTCTTGCTATTAGACAAAATAAACTCATAATTTTGTAAAAGCAGTCTCCAAAACCAATTAGAATGTTAAAATGAAAATATTGAATTAACAAAATTAATTATGAAAAATAAAAGATTCTCATGCAGTGAGCAATTCATATATACCCTGGAATTCTAATATCTAGTACAAATTATTCTTCAATAAGGAAATTGGTAACAGTTCCATAAAAAATTGAAATAAAATAAAACATACAAAAGATGGAATTCATATATATATATATATATATATATATATATATCAATTTACAAAAACCAACATAAAAAGTACTCAGAAAGAGCGTACATAGTTGTGAATCCAAAGCAACAAAATGCTGCTCTGCCTATCTCTTCCTCCAGGTTTCGCAGTATGGGTCGTGCTTCTTTCCATCCGCTCCCTACAATAGATTTTCTATAATCTGAAATTAAAATGCAAGACGAAGGAGGAAAAAGAAATCAAACACTAAGAAGACAAAAGAGAAGGAAAAAAAAGGAAAAAACTTGAGACCTGAAAGACTGAGATGATTCAGTTTTTGCGTGATGCAGTCCTCTTCGTCTCAATTCATTTATATAAGTAAGGAACTAATTTGTTCTGTCAAATGTTTCTTTCCACAACAATCTGTCCAAGAAAAATGACTGCTTGAAATTAAACTTCTGTTAGATACTCTGCCAAAATATATATGTTAATTAGCTTAGGGATTATAATCATGCTACCAACATTTGACCGAAAATTGAAAGGAAAAAAGTTAAAATTCTATGCATATAGTAGATAATTGATAAATTAAACTTTGCAACTAAAAGGTTGACAATGGCTTCAAAAGTAACTGAATATCTAAAACAACTTGTAATCCTAATTGTATGGAAGAGGGTAGAGAAAAGCAAAGTGCTTCTACCCAGGTTATGATGCTTTGTAGACAACTTATATCTGTTAACTACATTGCAAAAGATAAAGTTGGTACAGAGGAAGAGGAAGATAATAAAGAGAAAACTAGAGAGATTGTATTGATTGAATGGATAAAATGTATACAAATGAACTTAAGGAAATGATAGCTATACAACCCCTTATATAGCCATATAACCTACTTACAATAATACCCCTCTAACTATATTTCTATTATATCAGTTATTACTCCCCCCTCAAACTAAACTTGGAGGATCCAAGTGAAGTTTGAGCTAGTTAGGTATTTGGGACTGATCTGGAACTACGAAACGAAGATGTCTGCACTGCTTCAACCCCTGTCTCTTGCAGTTTGGAGCAGTGTATGATAGTTTGGAGTTGTTGACATTAAGGCACTGTGTGACTGGACCCTTTTTGGAACATCTGATTTGCTGCAAACTGGTGACGTGCTTCTTGAATTTCCCTTGAATGCAACCAAGAACTCACTGAATACTTGGAGAATGACACTCCAAGAAACTAAATCTACCAAGGAGAATGACACTTTGACTAGAGTTACTAAATCCAAATGCATGTCCATTGCATATGTCGCACTTTGACTAGAGTTACTAACTTTTGGATTAGCATGCTGCAAACAAGAAAGCACCTTGTCTTCATCCCCAGTTTCTTCACACAACGATATGACATAGAGTAATCACCCACATAGCTTCTCATCTGGTTTAACCCCTTTTTCAACTGCAACGCCAAATACTCGAACCATATCACCGAATTTTCCCAAAGAGTTTCATCTGCTCAAACTAATTTCTACAACTCTGTAGCTACCGCAAACCAAATAGAAATTTGCACAGCTAGCTTGAAGGCATTTTAAACCACAAAAATGTACATAACCATATGGTGCCAAACAGAACCCTGTATCATCCTTTTAAACAAACATTATGCAGATGCAATCTCTCCATCCAAAAAACCAATATTCCTCTGCCTCTCACAAGATCTTCACAAAGAATTTCCTTCTTTAAGGAGTTGTAGCACACCCTCATGCCGATTATAACAATTTCTTGCGGGTTTACCCTTCGTGGGATTTACCGTCAACAATCTCATTCAACTTGGCTTGGGCCTTTAATATTTACAAAAAATAGAAAATTAACAAACTATAGTGTGGCATCGGCCTTAACTATAGTGTGGCATCGGCCTTAACTATAGCACCACGGGATCGCCCTTTGTGGATTTTACCAAAAAAAAAAAAAAAAAAAAAAAAACTCCTTTGAACAATAGCATCGGCCTTCACAATTTCAACAACTGAAAATCAACATCTATGTAGGATTACCCTTTGTGGGATTTACCTACTCAAAACACGGGATTACCATTCGTGGGATTTACTGTTAACAACTTCTTCTAATTTCATCAAATAACCGGACTTACTGTAGATTCATGCTAACAACTGAGCTGGTTAGACTCGACATTATAGGTTGAGATAAGGGAAAATTACTGCACAAAACTCCTAACAAAGTTGCAGAAAATTAGTGAAGTAGAGAGACAAGAATTGGATACTGCAAAATTTGTTGAGTAATTCTACAATGAACACCCTAAAGATACCACCAGCAATCCTACTCGCACGAACACCAAGCGATGCTGCAGTTACCAGTCCTAGACCACCTTCTGACCCTTCACCCCAGTTTTATGATGAAGTCAACATGCAGCATTCTATAAAAAAAAAAAAAAAAAAGACTGCACCTTATGAGTTTCATGATGACGCTAAATTCCAGTGTTCTACTAGCCTTCAGTCACCACCTAAGTTTCATGATGAAGTCAATGGCCAGCATTCTACTAACAATGTGTCACCGCCCATTTCACCAAACATATCAAGATTTGCAGAAAAATCAAATCCAATAAAATTGCATCATATCAGTGAGAGAGAAAGAACTGGACACCATACACATTGCACAATCCAGCAATGACCAATATTCTTGAATCCAAATACCCCAAATATCACAAATACTGATCCCATAGAAGATTCACAAGAAAGATGAACAACATAGTGAACATTCTCTTACTGAAACATTTAATCAAACAGGTTATATGCACTGTGAAAACCAGAAATCAAGAACCTGATAAGAACTTCAATCTTGACCCACTTCCATTCTTCAAGATTTCATCTTTGTCGTCTCCAATGGCGACTTACTTGTCTTCTTCACTATCCCTCTCTCTCTCCTCTCTCTTTACAAAAAAAACTGAGAGCGAACTGTGAGAAAGCAATTGCAAAAAGCTGAGAGCTTTGACAACTTCCTGTTGTGAAATGGAGAGTCTCTGCTAGTTTGTGGAGGTGAGCACACCGTTTGGAGGTCGGATCGGTTCTAACTCCAATGCTGCCGGAGCCCAGCCGAACAAGGACCCGAACATGGCGTCGGCAGAGCAGTTGGTGCTCGAACTTAGCAACATGCGCTCCTTGAACTCTCCAAGAAGAGAGAATTATTTCAAGATTTGGCAATAGATCCAGTTCCTCAAGAACTGAAGATTGGTATCAAAGGATGTTTGTGGATTATGTTTACCCAGAAGATGGACAGTGGCAATGAACTTTAATTCTTGGAGGCGGTGGAGGCGTCGGTGGAGAAATCTCCAAACCAGAACAATCAACCCAACAATTGCAACAATCATAGAAAAATCAACCTAAGAACAATCACGGAAACACCGAAAATCTAATGGAAATTATAAGAGAAACTAAACTAGGGAAAAAAAAAATGTAAACTACCATGAAGAGAAACCACCAGAATCCATGGTGTCAACCTGGTGGCTCTGATACCATGTTAACTACATTGCAAAAGATAAAGTTGGTACAGAGGAAGAGGAAGATAATAAAGAGAAAACTAGAGAGATTGTATTGATTGAATGGATAAAATGTATACAAATGAACTTAAGGAAATGATAGCTATACAATTCCTTATATAGCCATATAACCTACTTACAATAATACCCCTCTAACTATATTTCTGTTATATCAGTTATTAATATCAACCTGTGAATTTCTTCCTCGATTAGCTAGCTCTTGAATGCACCAATAACATATGCAACTGAGACTTGGATTACATAGCTCTCAATTCCATTGACTTCGTCTATTAATTTTTAGAGGGTTACCTATAGTTTTTTCAATGACAATCACATGGTTTACACATAAACATGGTTTTTTCTTATTTGTTTATCTATTTCTTTGTTTAATCTACACTTGAATCGATAAAATATGGCCGTTGCAATCATACGGCATTCACAACGATCATACTTTGATTTGTAATTTCTCTGATAATTACATCCCCGATCAAGCTGACAAATAGTCAAGCATAATTAAAAAAGTAGCAACAACGCAAATAAAAAAAATAATTCAGACTCATCAAACTATCGAGTTCCATACCTTGCATCGCAATTTGGCGTAAAATTTACCTCTTTAGCAATAACGAAATAATTCAGTTATCAAACGTAGGACAAACTAAAATGCATCTAATAACTTATCATAAATGGTGAAGTAGCAACCTGATCAAACAGAATGATCGATAAAACTCGGGATTGAAGAATCTTAGATTGCTTTGAATACTTGGTGAAGTTCCTCCTCCTGAACCCCATGAAGAAAAACTACAGGCTGCAGGATAAGATTCAAAACATATTAAATAAAAAACCAGTACAAAATTCCCAACCCAACACTATTATTATGGTAATTTCAATGCAAGCCGCCTTCTCTAGCAGAGTTCATTTCCAAATCCCTACTACTTTGAGAGGATTTGAAAATTTCGGAATCTCTAATAACTGAAGAATTACACTATATAGTGAATAAGCTTGAAGAAAAGCTTCAAATTTGTATATAAAAAACTTTGAATTCGAACAAAAAATGCAAAAACTAAGTTGTTTATTAAGAAGAAGAATCAAAATTCACATGGCCGTGGGGATTTCCAGACTAGTCCTAATAGATTGTGTGGATATTCGAAACCTTAAGAAACCGGGAACTGTATGGCTCAATAGTCGAGTACAAGCTCTGGTTCAACCCTAGAAATTCCTTCTCCGATTCCATCAAATCGCTAGATAGTTTTGGCTCGCTCTCAAAGCCCACACTTTGCCTGTGCAAAGCTAAATTTCGAGAATTCCTCTTCCCTGCATTCAGAAACACACCATGATTTAATTTTAGATTTTAGAGAGAGCGAGAGAGGGAGTGGAGATGGGGTTGGGAGTGAGGGGGAAGGATGTGAAAGAATAGGAATTGAAATCAAGGTGCCGGCTTTGATCTGGTTGGTAGTTCGTAGAACGTGGAGGGTTGTTTGAATCCCACGTTTGCAATTCTCATTCCTCATCCTGCAAAACTCTTCCGCTTTGATGCTCTCTCTTCCAGTTATGGTTTTTTTACCACTTTGTCCTTCTTTTTTGAATTTTTGGGGTTTTGATTGTGAAAGAAACAAAGGGACAATTTTGGTATTTTGGAAAACTACACTATTTTAGGGCTCTCACTTTATATATATAGATTTGTCCACTCAAGCTAGCTAACAATTCATTTCTTAGAATCTAGGAATTTAAAATTCATGGCTTTATAAAAAATATTAATTTAATTGATTCCTCATTGTCACTAAAAAAAATAGTAGCTTTTTATTTATGCTATTATATTTAATTAGTTTCTTCCTTCATTAAAAAGACATTAATACACTTATAAGAATCTGGGACCATGATTTTCTACGGCCTGAGTAAGGCTACAGTTACCTCAAAAGTCTAGTGATTGACTCACAAGCTCCAGGCGGAGTTGGATCAGATGGGATAGCGGTGCCACCATCACCTTATTCCAAGGGAATAGGTGGAGTCTTGGCGACTCAACTAGATGACCATGCTTGTTTTACAAGACATGTGATCTGATCCGGATATGAACACAATCAGATCTTTTAAAGTTTTAAAGTTGTTACAGTTTAGGAATTGGCATGTGCCCGCAAGTAATTATAACTCCTAAGAGGATGCAATATCTACCTCTAGATACCCTCTAGGATTCTCCCTGCTTAGAACAAGGATTTTATCCAAAAAATGTCTCTCTCCCTATGGTATAAGTACACCCGTCTAGGGTTTATCTTTGGTAACACAAGCTAAACACTTGAATTCTCTTCCCACTGCTCGAGTCTAAAACTATTCACTAACTTGATTGTTAGAAAGAATTTCGCCAGCACAGCCCCTAGTCCTAGGCTTACTGATGTGGTAGAAACTAACATACAAATTAAACCCTTTTTAGACAATTGTAGTATACGTAAGTAGGGATCGTTCTAGGCCGGGGATTAGAAGGGATGCTAATCAACACAAATTAGACTTAAAAACACAAAACTAGACTCTAATAACTCAAAATTGACCAGACTGACTCAAAACAACGTAAAACAAACAAATTGACTCAAAACAGGAACTAAATGGTGATTTGGACGAATTCTAGACTCAACTTGACTCAAAATACTAACGGGGGACAGGTTTGACGAAATTTAAACCTAAAACTAAGTAACTTGCAGAAAACAAATTAATTGATACTAAATTGGGGTGAATGAAAGGGGTAAAAGGCTAGTTAGAGGATTCTTCTCCACACATGACACATATGCAACACAAATCGATTTCCAGTTATTATTCCTATAAACCATGAATGACAATGCCCCAAGTTAACCGTGAACTGCACAAATTAACCATCAGATTTTCCTAAATTCATTGAATTGGACTCAGTGCGCAATCAAATTATTCTAATCAAGTTCCCTATATGAACTGCATGATAGAGATACATATCAAAGATCATTAAGTTCTATGAAAATCATAAGCATTGACATGGCATTTGTAACTAAGTAAAGCATGATACTCCTGCCAGGAATTTACTTAACACAATCATGACTAGTGATTTCCACTACTTATAAATATAAGTTCATAACTATTTGGAGAAATTCCCTTATATTTTAGCATCAAATTCATGCATACAAACTAAGTAGGCCTCCTTAATCAACATACAAGAATAAGTTATCAATCAAATAGATAAGTAAATTGCATTCACGATTTATGAAACAGTAACTGGATGTAATTAATTCATTTCACACATATGTTCATGGCTTTGAATTCATCTCTAGCTAAAATGAAATTAGTTCCACATGTCTATCATAACTGAAAACCAAATTAAAACAAATATTGAACTAAAAACTAAAGACAGAATACACTTAGAAACGCTCCAGCAATCCAAAGGCCTTGGATGGCAGGCACGGCTCCAAGCTCTCTTTCCTTGCAAGCTGCGACACACTTCTGTTTATTTCTTTATATTTTTCTCTCTAAAACTCCCCCCTGAGTTCTATGGCAAGGGTGTACATTTATAGGGTAGACACACAACACCAATCCTTGGAGGACAAGGATAGGGCACGACACAATTCTAGGAGAAAAGGAATTAAATTGTTTGCATGATTTCAGGACTTCTAGAATTAGATATACATTGTTAAAACATGATAAGAACTCCTAAATTCAGATGGGAAGGATTTAGAATAGGATAAGGACTCCTTTTGTAGCTGGAGATAAGTTTAGAAAATGTTGGATCAAATAGGATAATGTTTGGATAATATGGGATAAGATAAGATAAGATTGGATAAGATAGGATAAGGTTGGATAAGATCTCCTTGTTTTCAGCTGATTCCTTGTCTTCCAAGCCTTAATTTAATTCTTCTATATTTGTAGACATTTTTAGCATTATTTGTCACCAAAAACGTCCATCCATTATGCTCCATACACATGTTATCCAATCTAAGTCCAAAACTGCTCCAAATTGCTCCTTTTGGCCATTTATTGTCATCTTCACCAATTGAGCCTACAATAATACAAAAATAAACTAAATCACTATAATAAATGGAAATTAACTAAGTAAATGCAAAGAAATAAGATAACGAAGTCGCATAAATATGCTCCTATCAAATTCCCCCACACTTAGCTTTTGCTACTCCCTGAGTAAAACAAAGAAAACAAAACAAAACAAAACCTAAACCTTCCAACAATTGCCTCAGGGATTTCCAATGAAACATGACATGTTAAAAATCACTACCCACATAGATTTTAGCCATCCTTACTTGATGCGATATAACATAGCACACAAATTAAACCCTCTTGTTGATAGTTGTAGTATGTGAAAGTAGGGATCGTTCTAGGCCGAGGATTATAAGGGATGCTAATCTACACTAATTAGACTCAAAAACAGAAAACTAGCTTCAAACAACTCAAAACAAGCTAAATTGACTCAAATAACACAAAACTAAGTTAAATTGACTCAAAACAAGCACTAGAAAGAAGTTTGGACGAAAATTAAACTAAAAAGACTCAAAATACTCAATGGCGGTTGTTTTAAAACTAAATAGATTGCAGAAACAAACTAAAGTTGGTAAGAAATTTGGGTGAATTAAAGGGGTGAAAGGCTAGCTAGAGGGTCCTTCTCCACACATGACACATAAGCATTTAAATCGATTTCTAGTTATTATTCCTATAAACCATGAATGACAATGCCCCAAATTAATTGTGAACTGCACAAATTAACTCTCAGATTTTCCTAATTTCATTGAATTGGACTCAACGACGTAATCAAATTATTTTTATCAAGTTCCCTATATGAACTGCATGATAGAGATACATATAAAAGATTATTAAGTTTTATGAAAATCATAAGCATTGACAAGACATTTGTAACTATGAACTGCATGATACTCCTGCCATGGATTTACTTAACACAATTATGACTAGTGATTTCCACTACTTATAAATATAAGTTCATAACTATTAGGTGAAATTCTCTTATAATTTAGCATCAGATTCATGCATGCAAACTAAGTATGCATCCTTAATCAACATACAAGAATAAGTTATCAATCAAGCATATAAGTAAATCGCATTCATGTTTTACGAAACAATAACTAGAGGAAATCAATTCATATAAAACATATGTTCATGGCTTCGAATTCACCTCTAGCTAAAAAGAAATTAGTTCCACATGTTTGCAATTAAACAAAACCAATCTAAGGATAGAAAAAACCAAGTAATGCTCCAGCACTCCAATGGCAGATTGCACAATCCTTGGATGGAGGTTGGCTCAAAACTTCTTCTCTCATTCCTTCCTTGCTGCGGCACAAAGTTATTTTTCTGATTTTCTCTCTAAGGCTCTCTCCCACATTTTCTGCGGCACAAAACATGTATATATATGCTAGGGTTCACGACACAAATCCTTGGAGGACAAGGACTAGGGTTAGGTGCGGCAGAAACTAGGGTTTCTAAAAGGGGGTTGTGGCATAGATTTAGGGGAAAGGATAGTACTTCTAGAACTAGATATTTAGGTGTTCTAATGTGAAATTGATTCCCCTTTGCATCTGGAATTAAGGTGGGATAAGATTAGGTTAGGATAAGATAAGATAAGATTTGGATAATGTTCCTTCCTTTTAGCTGATTCCTTATCTTTAATGTCTTGAATCAATTCTTCCAAATGTTAAGCACATTCGTAGCCTCTTTTGATCTTCAAAAATGTCCATCCACCTTGCGCCATACTTATGCTATCCATTCCAAGCCCAAAACTGCTCTAAAATGCTCCAAATTGCCTTTTCTTGCCAACTTTGCCATTTGGACCTACAAACACACGAAAATAGCTTAAATCACTATAATAAATAGAAACTAACTCACTAAATGCAAAGAAACAAGCTAACAAAGTCGCATAAATATGCTCCTATCATTACTCTTGAGTATACACTTAACCGCAGTCATCACTCACTAGCTCGCATTTAATCAATTAAAACAATATTTGAAAGTAGTAACATGCCTTAGAGAATTCACTCAATTCCTCACTGGATATACTCTCTATTTTCACACAGATTTTCTGACTACACTCCCAATGCTAAGTATATGTGAGAAGATTGATGTAGACATTTAGACTAGCACTCACATATGTTATAACAAAAGAAGGCACTTTCTGGAATTATTAATACAACATGTGTATGATCTCATGAATGGAATGCCACTACTTAGAAGCGAGAACCAGGGATCCCATATGCTCGTACCAATGTCAAACTCCACATATTGAAACACATAACAATCAAGATAGAAGTCTAAGGGTTGTAACGGGGCTAAGGTATTGGCTAA